AGTTCTCTGCATGGGTGTTTTATTTCTTCTTTTTTTTTTTTTTGGTGCTAAGGATTGAACACAGGGATTTTACCAGTGAGCCACAACCCCAGTCCTTTTTTTACTTTGAGACAATGTCTTGCTAAGTTGCTGAGGCTGGTCTTGAATTTGTAATCCTTCTCCTTCAGCTTCCAGAGATGCTGGGATTGCAGGCAAGCACCACTATGCCCAGCCATGGTGGTAATGGTGGTACCTGGCTAGATGCTTTATTTCTTTTTCTTTTTTTTAAAGTGTGTAATTTGTTTTATTTAATTATTATTTTTTTTAAAGAGAGAGGTGAGAGAGACAGAGAGAAAGACAGAGAGAACTTTTTTAATATTTATTTTTCAGTTTTTGGCAGACACAACATCTTTGTTGGTATGTGGTGCTGAGGATCGAACCCAGGGCTGCACGCATGCCAGGCGAGTGCGATACCGCTTGAGCCACATCCCCAGCCGATGGATGCTTTATTTCTTACAAAAAAATATCCTGCTTCTCCCAGGTGAGAGGTGATTGGGGTAAAAAATATAAACCATTGAATATGGATGATGGAAATAAAGCTTCATTACACTAGTCTTTCCTTTTATAAGTGTCTAAAATTTTCCATAGCAACACTTGCTTTTAAAAAAAGAGGAATGCAAAACCTAAAATTAAAAAAAAAAAAAAAGGCTGAAGATGTGATTAGTGATTAAGTGCCCTTGGATTCAATCTCTGATGTCCACCCCTCAAAAGTGGGGGATGATAGAAATCAAAATAATTAGTGAATAAAGAAAAAAAATCAAAACATTACATTTATCTTGTCTTTGCTATAGAAATTGTACTTCAAGACACCAAATAGATGATATTGGGAAATTTCTCTTATTATATAGGTGGAATCAATTAACACAAGAAAAGGGTAAGATAAAATTAAAGTATGAGAGGCTGGGGTTGTGGCTCAGTGGTAGAATGCTCACCTAGCATGTGCGGTGCGCTGGGTTTGATCCTCAAGTTACCACATTAAAAAAATAAAATGAAGGTATTGTGTCCAACTACAACTAAAACAAAATACTAAAAAAAAATTATAGAGTTTGTTATTTTGAGGCCCCTAGAAAAGAATGAATCTTGGGCTGGTGTTTTTTGCCAGTGAAATGTTTTTCCTATAGGTTTGCCATGGTCAGAGAAATGTTACCCCTTACACACATCCAGGAGTTTCACAGTGAAATTCATGCCAGGGTAGTTTGGGTTCTTTTTAAGAGGGTCTTACTTTCCTCTAAGAAGCATGGGGCTGGGGCTGGGGCTGAAGCGGTAGCACGCTTGCCTGGCATGCATGCGGCCCGGGTTCGATCCTCAGCACCACATACAAACAAAGATGTTGTGTCCACCGAGAACTAAAAAATAAATATTAAAAAATTCTCTCTCACTCTCTTTTTAAAAAAAAGAAGCATGGGGATAAGTTTATAGTCCCTTGATCGATTCCAATCATTTCTTAAGATCCTATTAAAGTACAGGGCTGGGGATATAGCTCAATTGGTAGAGTACTTGCTTCACATGCAAAAGGCCCTGGGTGCTTCAATCCCTAGCACCACACACACACAAATTCCTGTTAAAGCATAAATGTAAATACATAAATCCTAAGTGTACAAACTCAATTTATCAGAAAGTAAAAACTCCTGGGTAACTGGTACAAAGATCAATAACCCAGTAATCAGACCACAGAACTCCCCTTCTCAATTGTCCTACTCAAAGGTAACTACTATCCTTTTTCTGAATTTGATGTAAATAAAAGTAAACATTACATATTATTGTGTATGAGTTCCTTTGTTCAATCACAGCTGTGAGATTCTTACATGTCATTTTAACCAGATATTGTTCATTTACATTACTAGTTTTCCATTATCCCTTTATTTCTAAAATGCCATTTGTCCTGAAATATACCAATATATTGTATTGTATAGTTAATACCAATTTTCTTTTGGTTAAACACAATGTCTTAACAGGTTAGAATTTGACATTTGTATTATGCACAATCAAGAACTCAGCAGTAGGGCTGTGGTTGTAGCTCAGTGATTGAGTGCTTGCCTTGCATGTGTGAGGCACTGGGTTCAATGCGCAGCACGAAAGAAAGACAGACAGACACAAAGAAAGAAAGAAAGAAAGACAGAAAGACAGAAAGAAAGAAAGACAGGCAGACACAAAGAAAGAAAGACAGAAAGACAGAAAGAAAGAAAGAAAGAAAGAAAGAGATGTTGTGTCCATCTACAATTAAAAAAAAAGATTAAAAAAAAAAAAGAACTCAGCAGTAAACTACATAACCTTAGGCACAGAACAATGATACAGGTGCTTACACAATCTAATAGAGGACAGGACAATTTATTCCAATAGAACTACTGAGTATTTCCTGTTATCTTGTCTATATTCTTTGAACAAACATACGGACAGAAGAAATGCATCTTTATGAAACATCAGTATAATTAACTAAAAAGGTTAATGATTCTATCTAGCAGAATTGGGAATTCTACATTAAAACCCAATGGCTGAAAGAAAGAGGTAGTTCCACAAAGTTGTTATTAGAATTTTCTCACTTTAGCATAAATTATTTGAATAAACTCATAAAGAATACAGTAACAAATTTTGGGCATTAAAAATTGGGCACAGGTGGGTGTGGTACTGCATTCCTATAATCCCAGCTACTTGGGAAGCCGAGGCAGGAAGATTACAAGTTCAAGGGCAGCCTGGGCAATTTTATTGAGACCTTATCTCAAAATGTCTGGGGATGTAGCTCACAGGGAGTATCTGAGGGCCCAATCCCCAGTATCTCAACACATCACAAAAAAGGGCATAGTTTGTTTGTGCCCAATTACCTTGATCCATTTCTTTAACTATTCAAGTAATGGCATTTGTCTTAGAAATAATCACTGCTCTGTTTTTTGTTTTTTTTTTTGGTACTGGGGATTAAACCCAGGAGTGCTTTACCACTGAGCTACATTATTTTTATTTTTTTGAGAGGGTCTTGCTACGTTGCTTATGGCTTCACTTTGTTGCTGAGGCTGGTGTCAAACTTGCAGCGCTCCTGCCTCAGAAGAGATCGTGAGTAGCTGGGATTAGAGGTGTACACCACCTGCCTGTCTTGGAATGACTTATTTCTAAGAGCAAAAAGTATAAAAATTATTACAGGGTATATATTTCTATATCCATACTAGCTGTAGGATCCTTTCAGCCAGATGTATGCTTGCTGGAAGACAGAGCCCTGATGAGTCACTTTGTAGCTTCTTACCAAAAAGCAGGAATTCAAGCTATCAATATTTCCACTATATTATACATTCTTAAAAGGTAAGTCACCATGTTCTTAACTCTTTGTATTTTTCCCAGCATTAGCTCAACTGTTGGCATAATCAGTATCTGATGACCTGAATATGTTCTATTAAACAGGGTATTGATTCAGTTTTGTGTCCTTCCCATCCCAATCCACATGTTGAAGTCTTATCCCCAGTGTCTCAAAATCTGAATACACTGGAGACTGGGCCTTTAAGGAGTTAAAATGAGATCTGGATGGGCCTTAATATATTCTGACTATTGTCCTTACAAGAGATCAGGACAGAGACACAGAGGAAAATCACATAAAGGCATAAAATGGATCTCTGGAGAAGGCAGAGATCTACAAACCAAGGAAAGAGGCACTAGAAGAAATTAAAAATGCTCACTCCTTGATTTTGGAATTCTAGGATCTGGAGCTGTGAGAAATACATTTTTTAAAGAGTCAATTTTCTTAAATTTATAATGTAAAGTAACATTTTCAGTTAAAAATTTTATAAGTGGATAAGCATTTTACACTTCAGCAGAAACTCTCCCACCACTTATTCGACATCTTTAAGTTGGTTTTGGTAAGTTTTCAGAATACACAAGCATCCTAAGGCACAGACAGACCTTCAAGATCATAACATTAGTAGCATTTGGTAGTATAGGTCTGCCAAAAACGGGGTACAATAGAGGGCACTGGGCACTGGATAAAGCCAAGGAGACCTGGTTCAGGTTTAGATTCTGCAATTAACAGAAAATTGAACTAGGTGTTCTCTTAGGTCCTTTATACTCAAACTTGCATGACTATTAAGTTATGGTTATAAGCTCTGTGCTATGCACATTAGTATCTCAAAATCTAGTTCACAAAAGTCTCTTTTGAACATAGTTATTTTATCTTCCTGTTAAAAATGCCTCTTATGCTAAAGTTTGTACTTATTTCTCTAGTGACATTTATGGAGATAACAGAATTTATAAGTAAGCCAGTAAAGTCAATAGTGATCACCTAATTTTCTATTCCAGTAAATTTCTACTTCTAAGAGATCCTTGGGTAAAAGATTAAAATAAATTATAACTGCTTAGATTCTTGCAATCAAAAATTCCTTAAAGAACTAAGAAGTAAAATTGTTGTGTAAGGAAAAGCAATTTATAGTCAGTTGCTAACTGATAACCTTAAATTCAAAAGGACACCAATTCTGGATTTGAGATCTGAGATTATACTTCACATCTAAGTGTATGTATATAAATCCTATATGTAAGCCAAAAATTGAACCAAACTGGAAATAGTGCTCTAACTATAATTTGGTACTGTACATATAGGCAGAGAGAAGTGGGGTGAGGTGGGGAAATAAATAGAAGATTAGAAAAGCACCTTACTCCTCAAAATGAGAATTGTTCCTAAACTAAACGAGAAGTAGTTAGGAGCTGAGGACAGAACTCAGTTGGTAGAGTGCTTATCTCGTATGCACAAGGCCCTGGGTTCAATCCCCAGCACTACCAAAAAAAAAAAAAAAAAAAAGAAGATTTTAGTGTCTTTAATTTTTCTCAGTTTTAAAATTGTCTGAATATGTGTTTACTAGTCTCAAACTATGACAAATTGAGATAGATGACTATGGGAGAAAAAAAGACAATATGACATCATTAGAATTACAGGTAAGACAAGGGGAAACCCAGAGTACAGACAAGAACACAGAAAATTTTTAAGAGAGTACAGATGTCATGACATTTATTAAAAGGCATGCTACAATGCTATATTTGTTAGGAAAAGAGATTGGAAATTTCAAGTTATAGCAAATATACAAACTGAAGGAAAATGAAATATACTATAGTGTACAGAAGCTTGAATTAACCATGCACTACGTAGTTAGAAAATATGTTTTTAATATTTTATCTTCTCTTTGCATTTATAACATAATTCACTTCAACAATCACAGAATCCTTTTCTTCCAATGCCACAAACTGTATTACAAATGAAAGCTGGTACTGCTGCTTATCAAAATATACAAGACAATTGATGTTTTTATATAAAACCACTTTATATGTTCACTTGTTCCCAAAAACCTTTTTTCTTTTTTGGCCTGGTTAAAAAAAATGTTGTTACAAATATTTACAGCATTTTATTCTTATAAACTGAAAAAAGGGACTTTCATGAACAGATCACATAAAACACAAGACTATGTCAGAGGCTCCTAGCTGTGCTATTTTGTTTTGTTTTTCTTAAATACAGTACTGAAAATGCCCATCAAACCCTTGTCATCCTAATCCATCTGTTCACATTTGAACTCCCATTTTCTCTAAGTAGTCTGTTTACCAATAGAAAATACAAAGTAAAGGCCGCTCTCAACTGGGTCTTTCAGAAAGGAGCTTGGGGAAAATGTTTCACAGAGGAGTTAAAACCAGAACACTCAGTCTTTGGTCAGAGCAATGAGGTGACATTTTGATGCAAAACTTTGCTTGGTCAGCAATCTTTATAATTAGTAATTTTTCGATGTGGGATGAATTTTTAAAAGATCTGGGTAACAGTGAATGGTAAAGGAAAAAGGCCAGAGTTATGATTCTTTTTAATGACCCCAAAAATAGCTATTTAAATATTTATTACAACTACTACATAGATCCAAGAACTGAAAACAACAATAAAAATAATCTGCTGAGAGTGTTGAGTTAAACTTGCCATAAGCAGCTTTCAATCATGAGTATTATCACCAAGGTCACTGGACCAGACAAATATCCCTGTTCTCTGGAACATATGCCTCAGGTTGCAAAAACTAAGGTGACTACCACAAAGCAGCTCTGTTCTTGAACCAGCATAATGCTCTATAATGAAGATTATGTGATAAGACAAAAGTATAACTGAGACTTAACACAGTTACAATTATTTGCTTGTATGACTAGTTTGTGGGACAACATTCTTTTAAAACTCTATAGTATATATTTCCTGAAAACCAGAATACTGATACTATCTTAGTCTCGAACAAGAAGAAAAGGTCATTTAAGACTAATGAAGAAGGCACATAAACTTTGGTCCTGTTTTGCTTTTTTCCCTTAAAAAACCCCCCATATTAAGATTGAGTTATTTTTTATTTTTTAAGCCATTGTTAGAATTTGCTCTGAAAAAAGACTGCAAATAGTCTTATAGGTATCAACACAACTCTTTTAAAAGACAGCTAAGTTATACTTTTAAAAGTTTTGTGCAATCTAAACCATGTTTTAGCACAATAAGAGTATTTTAGGTCTGGCAGGTTCATTAACAGATAACAAGATAACATTAACAAAAGATCAAGACAAAGACTAAGAAAAATGCTTTACACATAGTGATGCTGTCCTTTTTGTTGTTGTTTTAAAAATAGCAGTACACATTAGGTTTTCTAAGAAACAGGCTGATCGTTTGGCAAACTTCGGGTTTTTAAGGGACTTAATGGGAAGGAAAAGAAATGCTTTTGAATTTGTCATTTTTGTCCAAAAATATTTAATGGGAATAGAAGAGAATCTACATGACAATACACTCAAATATAAATATCACTGATGACATGGAGACTTTGAACAAAGTTTCGGAGCTGAACAGAGATTCATAGCTCAGCTAATTCTTAAAACGAAGTAGAACTGATGACCACAATAGCAGATGGAGACAACGAAGACCTCACTCCCATCAAGAATCAGGCAGGCAAAAATTATGGCTCTAAAAACTGAGTTCAAACATTTCTACAAATAAATGATGGTAATATTCAGTCTTGAAGAATTTATGGCATTCTCTGTAAGAGCTACTAGATAATCCTGATACTTCTTCCAGTAAGTTACAGATTAAGATAATGCATCATTTTTCTATTTGTACATTACATGAAACACATTTTACTGCTATGTAATTTATTTAAAACTCATCGTAAGATGTTTTGGCATAAATTGCTATTGTTAAATATGTACTGCCATTTTTTAAAGTCCTGATATATGCGTGTGTGTGCATATGTATGCACACACACTTTGTGTAAAAGTCAATATACCTTGAAAAGTGATATAAGTATACCTTAAAATAAAGTGAATAAACTTAAAAATAGGATATTATGAAAGATCAACAGTGAAAACAAACCAGAAGATACTGAAAAAAAATGTGTGCCAAAACAAACAATAAAAAAACAAATCTAGTTTTTCCACTATCCTGAATTTTTTTTTGAGTCTTTTTACAAAAACTATGCCAACACAAATACTGTAGATCTCTATAATTCTAATAGCAAAGAGTTCAATATGGACAACATCCATGTGCTCTATAGCTAATTTTAGACACAATCTGATGGCTTCAAACATGCACTTTTAAAATAATATCCCACTTTTCCAAATCTTAATTTGGTTAATTTTCTTTTTTAATAAATAAAAATGTATGTAATGTGCATATGTATATACATTAGAAGTGTATGTATGTATATACATGAATTTATACACATACACACACACATACACACAAACAACACACACACACATATCTACATAAATCCCTGAAAAGGATTTAAATGTTCTCTCCCAGATTTAAAGGCCATCCCCCACTTCAAAATTACATTCAACACCATTATTTCCCTTCTGCTATCAGTTACTTGCTACACTTAATGCTGGATGTTATATGAGAATTATGAATTAATAAATTACATAGTCATCCCAAAGTAAACAAAGTAATCCAATTAGTCACTGAAAGTTGCTTGTGTAGAAGGAAAAACAAAAACAAAAAAACAAATTTTGGGAGATTTTCCAATTTGTTTCCCTTCCTCTCCTACTTGGGTGTTTAGGGTAAAAATGTATTTCATAAATGGGGAAAAAAACACAATAGATAAATGATAGTATACCTATCTATTCAGCCATTTCAAAGGTCTCAAATTAATGACCTTTATATTCTACCAACTAACTGTTACTCAGTGTTGAGTTACAACCTATAATCTCTTTCAGCTTCTATTTTTTTTTTGTAAAAAAAACCAAACAAAAAACCCCCCCAAACAACCTATGTTCAAATTAATGGCTGGAATAAAGCAAAATGATTTGAGATATTCTTTGAAAAGTTAAGATGAACCATTCTGAGAATTATGAAAAGTGTAAATGGGTGAATGAAATTAATCCCTCTGAATAATTCTGCTTTTTAAAAAAAATATGATCAAGCATTGAAGGAATAATAAAGCAGTTTCTTGTTAAAAAGAAACAATTTTACATAATACAATCACTGAAGCAACATTAAAATGTACTCTTACATTCAACCAGAAAGAGAGGGAAAGTATGAGAAATAACTTGCTTTCTCATACTCCAACTATGTGGGCATTCAGAAATCAAGTTACATTAACAAAGAAAAGCAAGTTCTCACTTGAGTACTGAAAAGAACCAAGTAATCCTGAGACAAATTCTGATGGGCAATAAAGATTAGAAAAGATCCAGAAACTGAGATTGCATTCTATAGCCCCAGAATGGTGTATGATAATTGGCAATAACTATTACGAGTCACAATGTAAAGAAGCCTACAAATGTGTACTGAGTTATTTCCAAAACCATTCACCCTTCCCCACCCCATCTCTGCACCAAAGCACCAAAGATTTGAATAAAAACTATTACTTATTGAAAACCACTTAAAATTGTAACGAAAACAACAACAACAAAAAGTCTTTAAAATCCTTACCAAACCAGAGAAAGCAAAACAAAATGCTCACCAAGCCCACAATATAGTTTTCAAGATATTTAGATAAAACTCTAACCTATTGTTATCTTAAGCACATAATAAGGCACATAAGAAGAAATTAAGTAAATACACAGTAATTCTGAATAAGTATTAGATAGATTATAGTGGTACAAAAAACCCTTGAGATTAATTTTTTCTAAAATAAGACCTTACCAAAAATAACTTCTAAAAAATCTGTCAAACCATATGATAGACCTGAATATTTTCCTTAAGACTGTAAACTTTTTTTTCCTGAAAACAATTATAAAAAAGTAGTTTATAAGTAGGATTATTTTTTAAAAAATTTTCAAGATCATATTATATTACTTGACAAATCAGTATCATTTTGAAATTTAAAACATGATTTTTCTAATAAAATTATTAATTATTCTGACTTATTAATAGATCCTGGTTGGATTCTTCTTAATTTCCCTGGGGACAGCTGAAACACTTACTTTTTTCCAGATAGTCTTAAAAAGGTAAGATATGTATATTCAAAGGAGTGTCATACAGTAGGAAAAAAAAGAAATCATTGAAAGAAAACATGCACATTTATAAGTCTGCTTCCAATATAATTCAATGTGTTTATATGTATAACCATCAATATATGGCAAATATTTGACATAATTTATTATAAGTGAACAGAATTTCCTACAGGGGTCAAACTTCTGAATCATAAAGTTAAAAACTTGGTTGCAAGTGATTTAAATTACTTACATCAAGTAATTTTAAAAGTCCATATGTTTAAATTTCTCAAAGCTCAAAAGGAGTTTAGAGATGTTATATAAGGCTGATCTGGACCCAAACTAAAAGAAAGCATGTTCTTTTGAAATCTAATTTAACATAGGGAATTAAATTACTGAAAAATATTTTTCCTGATTTTTTCCTGAAGGTTATTTTTATACAAACCATGGTACAAAGGAATAACAAACCTTCAATCATACACTAGAAGGGGAAAAAATGGGGGGGGGGGACCATCCTTTGTTTTGAATATACTTGAATATGAAACTCAGGGTTTTTTTTTTGAAAGAGGCAAAATTGGTCTTGAGCTACTTCAGTCTATGTCTGTAGGTTTTACTAAAATTATGGTCCAGTTTTAGAGGAGAAAAATTCACAGAAAAGTCAGATTGTAGATTTTGAGAAAGAAACTCTGAGGTGGTGATTTTCTCCAAGATCATGATTATGAAGCTCAATGAGGGCCTGGATTGCTTCTTCTACAGATGCCAACTGAATGAGCGCCATTTTACGATCTTTCCTGAAAATGGCATAAGAAATAGAGAAAGTATTCAGAATTAATTGTTTCTAAACCTTCTTCCACCAGAAGACTCTTAGAAATTTGCATGGTGTGTTAAATAATATATTTTGTAAAAGCAAGGACTTACTGAAAGAATTTAAAAGCCTTCACTGAACATCCAGCTTCCGTGAAAAGGTTCTTCAAATCATCCATTGTAACAGAAGGGCTGTGAAAACATTACAGAATGTCAACTACATCAGCTCCACTTCTCAAATGAAGCACAGATTAACTCTGGTAATCATCAATTCTCTCAAGTATTTTACATTCCAAGCAGAATTACTGAGCCAGATAACAGACATGATTTGGACGTATCCAGGAAAATATTCAAGATGACACATACATGTCTAAACAATGGAATTTTGTCTCAATCTTTGCTGTAAAAAAAAAAAAGTCATGTATATAAAGGTCAAAAAATTCCTTCTATATATATTCTATCAAAGTGATTATTCTTCACACCACTTGACTCCAGTAATTAACTCCAGTACTTCCAAAGTTACTTCTCTAGGTCTGTTCTTTCAGCTATAGTCCAGGGTTCTACATCTTCAATTGTTTTCAAGGTAATTCTGACAGCAGAATTGTGGTAGCCAGGCTTTGAGATGGCCCCCAATTACTTTTGCCTTCTAATATTCACACCCCTGGAGGTTATTCCTCTCTCTCTCTCTTTTTAATTTTTTTTAAGTTATAGATAAATATGATACCTTTATTTTATTTTTATGTGGTGCTAAGGATCAAACTGAGGGCCTCACACATGGGAGATGAGAACTCAACCACTGAGCCCCAACGCAAGTCCTAATATTTCCCTCTTATAACTGAATAGAAATGAGCTCTGTAATTTTTAGGACATAACAGAAATAATGATATGCTTCTTCAAATAACTGCACCCTTGCCTAGACTTTGCTTTTGGTGATGGAAATTAAACCCAGGACCTTGCACATGCTAAGCACATGCTCTGTTACTGAACTACATTAGCTCCATAGTTATGAGCTATGCCCCTCCACCCCAATATTTTGACTGCAATCTTATGAAAGAATCTCAGTCAACCTACCCAGCTAAGTCACCTTGCTATTCTTGATTCACTGTAACAATATAAGATAATGAGTATTTGAATATTTACTTCTGTGCCAAGCTGTTACATTCTTCTGTGACCTGTTATGCAATAGTAGACAAGATTATAATACAGTGATCTATCACATGAGAGTTAATAGATGAAAAGTAGATTCCTCATCTTCTCATGATTGCCAGCAATAATAGTGTAGAGCAATCACTGGCTCTGCAGAGACAGACATGAACTCCAATTCTATTCCTCACTCACTTGGTATATAATTTTGAGTAAAATTACTTATCCTTAATCTTTGTTCCATCAGCAAAATGAAACTATTTTCATAATAACCCTTGAAGTAAGAGATAACCTTACTTCAAGGATTATTATAGATGCTCTTTTTGGTACCAGGGATTAAACTGAGAGGTACTTAACAACTGAGTCACATCCCCAGCCTGTATTTTTTTTCATTGCGACAAGGTCTCGATAATTTGCTTAGGGCCTTGTTAAGTTGCTGAAGCTGCCTTTGAACTTACAATCCTCATGCCTCAGCCTCCCTAGCTGCTGGGATTACAGGTGTGCACCACTGCAAACAGCTTCAAAGGTTATTATAGAGAAATTGACAAAGACAGAATATAGAACAGTGGTTACCAGGGTCCAGGATTATGGAAAAATGGGAGTTATTGCTTAGTGAATATAGTTTTAATTAGGGATGATGAAGAGTTTCTGCAGCTAAAAGTTATATATGCACAATAATGTGAATGTATTTTTTAATTTTTTTTAGTTGTTGATGGACCTTTATTTTATTCATTTATTTATATGTGGTGCTGAGAATCAAACCCAGTGCTTCACAAATTGTAGGCAAGTGCTCTACCACCGAGCCCCAACCCCAGCCCCAATGTGAATGTATTTAATGTGAATGTACACTGCACTATACAATTAAAAGCAACCAAAATCGAAAATGTAATGTTATATAAATCTTACATTATTTTTTAAGACAAAAGTTTGTTGTGGCTTCCCTGCCAAAAAGGGCTGTTATGGAGATGAAATGAAGCAACATGTAAAGCACCAGTGCACTGCCCAAAACTTGGAAGATGGTTCAAATATGTTAATATCCTTTCTTTTTTTAAGTTCATGTCCTATGCTGGCTGCAACTGTTGACTAGCTTCTGCATAATCTGTTATATATTAAAAGCTAACAATGAAAGGTCCATTTAGCTATTCCACAGTGATGAGGTATTGAACTTCTAGATCCATGTACTCTAGCACTGTAGATTTTTTTCCCCTTAAGTGACTCCTCCACAATTTCCTAGCTGGATGAGATTTGATTCACTGCCCAAATCAGATTAAAGGTTTCTCCTCATAGCCTAATCAGACAAGCAGAGAGGTGGGCACTGAATACTATTTAAAGTAATTATTTTCCTTTCCTATTTAGCTCCCGTTGGAACGGGGGTGCTTGAGATCTAACCTATGTCTTTGAACATGGCAGGAAAACAATGTACCACTGAACAACACTCCCAGCCCTTAGCTTACCTTCTTATTCTTAATAATGTCCCAGAACTTTAACCCTATCTCTTCAGCCTTTAACCTATTCTGTCCTATCATACCACCTACAAAAACTTAAATGTAGTACACAGTAAGTAATTATATAAGAATATATTATAATGTTAATTATTGTAAACTTTAAGCTTGAGATTATTATTTCTAATTTACTTTAATGCTCCTGTGTCAATTTGGTTGAAATATTCACAGAACTGAAAACTTGGGACTTAAAAATAGGTCAAATTTTTACACACACATATACAAATACACTCCCCACAGCTTTTACTCCTCTTTTCAAAGGTTACCCCATTTGATAAATTAGTTTAAAATATACAAAATTGCCTTTTCTGTAAGTCTACGATTTCAAGAATTAGAACTGGAGCTGCCAAATGTTTTTCTTAAAGGGCCAGATAGTAAAAATCTCAGGCTTTGTGGGCCATACAATCTCTACTGTAGCTACTCAGCTTTGCTACTGTAGCTCAAAGGTAGCCACAGATATTCCATGATGAGTACAGCCAAAACTTACTTTATGACTTCACCAAACTTTAAGGAAAGGGAAATCTGAATTTTATCATATCACTTTTTTTCCCAACCATTTTAAAATATAAAAATCATTCTTTGTCCACAGACCATACAAAAACAGACATGGGCTACAAATGGTTAATCCCTGAGTTAGAATCAGATAACTGAAGAAGATATAAATAAAACACTGATTGACAGAGATCTTCTTAAAGTGGTTACAGGAAGATAACTTTTATAGCTTTTAAGTAATCCATATATATAACATATTTATGACTTTGTAGTTTGTAGATAAAGAGCAGAGAATTCATTTTTAGGAAATTCTTAGATACATAAGTTGCTTTTGCTATATTAGTTACTTAAAAGTTGTTACTTCTACAAAGGAATGAGCAGGAATATTTCCAATGGAATATTTCCACTTGTGTTTATTTTTATGCCCTTATATTACCGAACAGCAACTAATTGTTCATTTCCTATTTGAAATAAAAATTACAAAACATTGGATCACTTTTGGAAAGCATGACTGGAGATATAGTTAGAATAGTTTCCCTGTTTTACCTTTCCCAGACCACATACTATAGATCATCAATCACCTAAATAAGTAATTTATTAAGTACATACGGAATGTTGGAAAGATGCAGAGTGGCTGATGGTGGAAAGATATTCTGGAAATTCTTAGAGCCAGGCTTTTTAAAGCGATGCAAAGGGCTATTGCTGAAATCCTTAGTCAGACCTTGGTCTTCTTGTCCCTCTCGAGGAAGCTGAACTGACTGGTGTTTGGACAATGTAGCACGAAGCACTTTTCCATAAAGTCTCTGACCACTTAAATGGTTCATTGCTAGTGTACAGGAGAAAAGGGAAGTTTGAGTATTAAGTCAGACTCTCAGTAATATGTCCTAAGTTATCATTTAGTCATTTAAAATTATAGTCAGTTTAAGTGTTAAAAGAGTTTTAAATCCAAAATATTTTAGGGAAATGTATTAAATAACCTCATTTTATTATAATAAAAGCAATTTTAAACAAACAAACAAACAAACAACAACAACAAAAAGGGACGACTTTCCAAGCAGAGTGCTAGGAAGTTTCAGAATGCCTGGAACATAGTAAATATTAATGAAATGGTTACTGAATATATTAGTTTTATCTAAAGCAAAGAAATAAAGACTAGTGATGTTTTTCTTTTACTATTGTTATTTTTCCTTTTGTAGTGCTGGGGATAGAACCCAGGACCGTGGGCATGCTGAGCAACAAATAGCTGCTCTACCTGAGCTACATTCCCTAGCCCCTGAGTAGCAATATTTTAATAGCCCTTGTTACAGTATGGCCTTAGAAAGACACTTTCTTATACCATCATTTGGAAGTTTGCCTAAACTTTTGAGCCACTCAACTGTTAAAGAAAACTTAATTTAGAAGGAAAACAAAATCACATAAAATGAAACAAAATGCCATGTTTATTAGTTTAAACTTAATGAAAGATCAAATAGATAAATGAACTTCAGAAAAAAAGAGTAATTCGTAATTCAGACAAAATATCTTTAAAACTTAAAGTACAAGCAAGTACAAATAAAATGAAGATATTACCACCAGCAAGTACTCTTATAATATTATATTTCTAATAGCTTTACATTTGTTTATATTGAAGGAAAATTCAAAGGTAGGTCGTCATCGTCATCATCATCATCACATTATTATTAATAATTAGTACCTAGCTGAGCTTGACTTGCATCTGCCATCTGAACCAAGGCATTTTCTTTTTTATTAAACATGATCTTCACTCTATGGACATCACCATATACTCCTAATTAGAACAAAGCAAAACAAAAACACTATTTAATGTTTAATTAATTTTATTCTTTCATACATATTCACCCAAGTCCCAGATCTATTTATCTACTCAAGTTTTTCACTTGGATGTACCATAAACACTTCAAATTTAATGCGTTCCAAACACATTCATCCCCACTTAGCTCTCCCCATTTTCAGTGCTGAATAGCTGTGGATAAATAGTACCGTCATGCACATAATTACTGTAGTCAGATACCTGGGAGTCATCTTTCTTTTTAATATTTATTTTTTAGTTTTAGGTGGACACTATATTTTTATTTTATTTTTATGTGATAATGAGGATCGAACCCAGTGCCTCATGCATACTAGGCGGGCACTCTACCACTGAGCCACAATTCCAGCTCAATGGGAGATATCCTTTAACATCTCCCTTTCCTTAAACCCTTACATCCAGTCTATTACTACTCACGAGCACCCACAGATTCTATGGCCTAAATCTCTCTTACATTTGTCCACTTCTCACAATCCTCACTATCATCATAGTTATCACCATTTCCCATGAGACTATGAGAACTACCACAATGGCCTCTTAATTCATCTCATTACACTCAATATTTTTCTTAATAAGGAGTTTCCCAAAGTGGATTCCACATCCCAGAGAATGGAAAAAAATGATTCATATATGGATGTGGGAAAAAAATAATTAATTTTTTTTGAGACTGAGTCTTGCTACATTGCCCCGGTTGGTCTGAAACCCATGAGGCTCAAACAATTCTTCCTCCTCAGCCTCCTGAGTAGCTGAGACTATAAGCATGCACTGCCACACCCTGTTTCAAAGTTTTTTTTTCCTTGTACTGGGGATTGAACTCAGGGGTGCTCTACCACTGTGACACATCCAACCCTTTTGTTTATTTTATTCTGAGATGGGGTCTTGCTAAATAGCTTACGGCCTAAGTTATGAGGCTGGTCTTAAACTTGTGATCTTCCCACCCCAGCTCCTAAATAGCTGATATTACAGGTGTGTAACACAGCACCTCGCCTCAAACTCTATTATTTATACCAATCTATTTATATAAACCAACATGAAAAAACTACATTTTATGAATTTCAATCTACAGATGAAATTAAAAGGTTCTGTGATATAAATAGCATTTTCTTATTTTTCTCCATCCAGTGTATTATAATATATTACAGCTTATGCATAAAACAGTATCATTATCATACTTTGCAATACAATAAAAGAATGCCTACAAGGGACACAGAAGACAGCTGGTTATCTTGTCAAGCACCTAAAGGCAACTGAAAACCTAGAAATGAACTCTACTTTTCAAATTTAAAACAGAGAAAAGCATTCCAAATTTGCTGCCCTTTTTGGCAATGACAAGTGGCTGAAGTAGATATTCTTTAAAAAACTAAACACACACAACTTGTTCTTCAAGGTATGGGTGATTTTTTTAAAATAATTTTTTTAAATATTTTTTTTAGTTATAACAATAGTGCTTGAGGATGAACCCAGTGCCTCATGCATGGTAGGCAAGTATTCTACCTCTGAGCCACAACCCCAGCCCGAGTAAGTTTTTTTTTTTTTTTTTTTAATATTTTTGTTTAGTTGTTGTCCAATCTTTATTTTATTTATATGCAGGGCTGAGAATCAAACCCAGTGCCTCACACATGGCAGGCAAGTGCTCTACCAGTGAGCTACAACCCCACTCCAAGTAAGTTTATATGAGTCATATGAAGATGTATTATTACCTTCCATGAATTTATTATTGAAAATTACCTAAATTTTCATTATTAAAAAACTTTACAGTGACTGCAAATGAGCATATAATTTTCTTTCTCTCTTACTTTTGTATGAGGTTTTCTAAGTAAGGAAGGAAAAGTTCTAAATTGGACTGTGATGATGGCTGCATAACCATGTATTTACTTAAAAAAACAACGAAAGTAGGTAAATTGTATGGTTGTAAATTATACCTCAAAAATGCTGTTAAAAAAAAAAAAACCCTATCAATGCTCAAAGAATTTAGAAACAAACTTTTCTATTTTGGTAAGAAAAAATCTTACAAATGAAGACTATCAGAGTAGCAACCCAGTTTTTTAACACACTTAAAATAACTTTTAATTCAAGCTGTATTAATTTTTTAACATATATTATTTTTTAGTTATAGATGGACACGTTACTTTTTTTTTTTTTTTTAAAGAAAGAGTGAGAGAGAGAGTGAGGAAGAGTGAGAGAGAATTTCAAAATTTATTTCTTAGTTTTTCGGCAGACACAACATTTGTTTGTATGTGGTGCTGAGGATCGAACCCGGGCCGCACGCATGCCAGGCGAGCGCGCTACCGCTTGAGCCACATCCCCAGCCCGCGTTACCGTTTTTTATTATTTATTTTTATGTGGTGCTGAGGATTGAACCCAGTGCCTCAAACGTGCAAAGCGCACACTCTATCACTAAGCCACAACTCCAGCCCCACAAGATGTACTGATTTAACAGGAAAAGGATAAAGCACAAAAAAATAGAAAAAACTTTCTAGATGAAGAACAACAAACATTAGTGGATTAGACTGAAAAACTAGTAAAGTAATTAATAAAATACATCAACAATGAAACAGTTCTATTTAGATTGCTTGTTTTATCCTTGGAATAATGAGCCAAAATGAAAAACAAAATATTTCTTATCCAAAATAAAGCATACTAAATTGTATTCCTCACTACATATTAATTCTTTAATGCAAAAAGATTTCGTCATTAAGAAAACTTCTTAAAATAGTAAGTATTATTCATTTTTGTTGCTCTCATGTTTCTATGCTTGTGTACTTATGCTATATATAATGAGCATAGTAAAAGATGCAATTTATAAATACTTTAATCCTCCATAAACAGGCATGCTTAGCTTTCTTTTTAAGGTAAGCAAGAGGGGAAAACTTTTAGAAAGTATAGAGGCGATCTTTAAAACATGACTCTCATTAAGACACTCTGTTGTATAAAAACTATTTAATGCCTTCATATTCCTCATAGGGAACCAAACTCCTTCATATAGCCTACAAACCTCTTCATCATCTTGTCCTTATGCATCTGCCCAGCTTCAATATCTTTCTTTCTTATAATCTTCATTAGGATTTCTTCTCTTCCATGTACTAGGAAATCTCACCCACTACTAGTATCTGAAAAGACATTTACTCTCCTCATTTCTGCCTGGCTAACCCATTCTCATTTTTCCTAAGTCAGGTTAACTATCATTTCTACCGAATCCCTGGGCTAGGTTAGGTCTATTTTATGCACCCATTTACAACCATTATCACCCCTATTATAAAACTTTACTGTAATTACTTAAGTCTTATTCACTGATCTACCCTCAGTGTCAAGTACACTACTTGGCATAATCAAGAAATATTATTAAATGAATCAAATGTACTCAATTCATATCTATAGGTAACATTAAAAACAATAAAAATGAACTTACCAAATAGAATAAAAAGCCCATGTGGTGTGATAAGCTGTTTAAAAAGGATAATACAAAATATTAAGTCTTAACTAAATAATTTAAGTAAAATTTTAAAATAATTTTATTATAATGTAATAAAGAGTATTATTTTATATGCTTCTCTATAATGAACAAACTTAAGCATTTTGGGGGGATAGGGGAGTATAAACACAGGGCCTCTGACATGCAAGGTAAGTAATAAGATACAGCCTCAGCCCTTTTTATTTTTATTTTAAAATAAGGTCTTGCTAAATTGCCCAGGCTGTCCTTGAACTTGTGATTCTCTTGCCTTCGATTTCCAAGTAGCATGCATAGCCAACCAAACTTAAAAAACATTTTGATCTAAATACAATCCTAGCTCAGAAGTCACTCTATCTCCCCTCCCCCCTTTTTTTTTTGCGCTTGTGGGGGTAGGTGAGCACCAGGAACTGAACTCAAGGGCACTTGACCAGTGAACCACATCTCCAGCCCTATTTTTTTTTTTTGTATTTTATTTAGAGACAAAGTCTCACGAGTTGGTTAGCACCTTGCTTTTCATGAGGCTGGCTTTGAACTCTTGCCTGGCTACTACTACATCTCTTTGAATTCTTGATCCCCGCATGCCTGGCTACTACTACATCTCTTTGAATTCTTGATCCCCGCATGCCTGGCTACTACTACATCTAGGGGCTGAGGAATATAGTTCAGTTGGTAGAGTGCTTGCCCTGCATGCACAAGGCCCTGGGTTTGATCCCCAGCACCACCACACACACACACAAAAAAAGACTATTTACATACAATACTTCTCAACTCACATCAGGATTGAGATTGGTGACAAGTAGAACAGAATTTCCTGGTATACCACTTGCTCCAGGAATGGCCATCCTTCCAGTGACAGCAGAGGAGGTGAGGGTGAGAGGACCAAGAGCTCCAGGAACAGCTGGGACTGATAGACCTTTGAAAAACACAAAAAGCATTTCATACTCTATAGTTATCTAAAGAACTAAACAGTTAATATAATAAAGTATATAATGAAGTAAATTTATGAAGCAAAATCTGTAAATAAATGAAATAAATAAATGAAGACAAAAGCAAACATGGAAGAAAGGGTGTCAAGCTACCCATAAAGAATATATCAAAGGCCCGTTTTCTGCCCCATAGAGTCTGTCTGGCAGCTGAGTCCCTTATTTGTTGAAACCACTTACTCAGTACTTTACCATACTTGACAGAGTAACTGAAATCACTGGTCTTCAAAAAAAAAGTTGTTGGATTTCTCAGAGGGTCAGTCTATCAACTACAAGCACTCCTGCTATCACAAAATAAATATATTCAAAAGCACCTTTCTAGTAAAAGCATCCAATTTTCACATTGACATCTACCATAAAATCAGGAAAGTATTTTTTAAAAGTCCTTCAGCAGAAGCCACAAAGAGGTGCTGGGTAGTTCTATATGCCAGTCTAAATTTTGTCACCTTATTAAGTTCTGAATAAATATTAAAATAATAGATTTACAGAATTCAATATTCTTTTGTAGAATTTGTTTCAGAGCTCTCTACTCTCCTAGATATTCTAAAATCATTGAATGTTTTATAATACTGACATTATATTTGAACTAATTCTTTAATTTGTTGTTGTTTTCTTTTTGGTGGTTCTGGAATCAAACCCCATGGCTTTGC